CAGGAGTTCTGGAGATGGGATTGGGGTGGAATTGATGCCCCAGGGGATGTCCTGGTTATCAAACAGGGGTGTGGGGGGCTCTGGAGATGGGATTGGGATGGAATTGATGCCCCAGGGGATGTTCTGGTCATCAGGCAGGGCCGTGGTGGGGCTCTGGAAATGGGATTGGGGTGGAATTGCTGCTCCAGGGGATGTCCTTGTCACTGGGCAAGGGCTCTGGAGATGGGTTTGAGGTGGAATTGCTGCCCCATGGGAAGTTCTGGTCATCAGGCAGGGCTGTGATGGGGCTCTGGAGATGGGTTTCGGGTGGAATTGCTGCTCCAGGGGATGTCCTTGTCACTGGGCAAGGGCTCTGGAGATGGGATTGGGGTGGAACTGTTATCCTGGGGGATGTCCTAGTTATCAAACAGGGATGTGGTGGTATGCGGGGATGTCCTGGTTATCGGGCAGGAGCTCTGGAAATGGGATTGGAGTGGAATTGCTGACCTGGGGGCTGTGGGGCAGCCCAAGGGATGTCCTGGTCACTGGGCAGGGGCTCTGGAGATGGGTTTGAAGTGGAATTGATGCCCTGGGGGATGTTCTGGTCATCAGGCAGGGCCGTGGTGGGGCTCTGGAGATGGGTTTTGGGTGGAATTGCTGCTCCAGGGGATGTCTTTGTCATCGGGCAGGAGCTCTGGAGATGGGATTGAGGTGGAATTGCTGACCCGGGAAATGTCCTGGTCACTGGGCAGAGCAGTGGTGGCGCTCTGGAGATGGGATAGGGGTGGAATTGCTGCCCCAAGGGATGTCCTGGTCACTGGGCATGGACACTGGAGATGGGTTTGAGGCGGAAATTATGTTCCGGAGGATGTCCTGGTCACTGGGCAGGAGTTCTGGAGACGGGATTGGGGTGGAATTGCTGTCCTGGGGGCTGTGGGGCAGCCCAAGGGATGTCCTGGTCACTGGACAGGGGCTCTGGAGATGGGATTGATGTGGAATTGATGCCCCAGGGGATGTTCTGGTCATCAGGCAGGGCCGTGGTGGGGTTCTGCAGATGGGTTTCGGGTGGAATTGATGCTCCAGGGGATGTCCTGGTCACTGGGCAAGGGCTCTGGAGATGGGATTGGGGTGGAATTGATGCCCCAGGGGATGTCCTGGTTATCGGGCAGGAGCTCTGGAAATGGGATTGGAGTGGAATTGCTGACCTGAGGAATGTCCTGGTCACTGGGCAGGGGCTCTGGAGATGGGTTTGAAGTGGAATTGATGCCCCAGGGGATGTTCTGGTCATCAGGCAGGGCCGTGGTGGGGCTCTGGAGATGGGTTTCGGGTGGAATTGCTGCTCCAGGAGATGTCCTTGTCATCGGGCAGGAGCTCTGGAGATGGGTTTGAGGTGGAATTGATGCTCCAGGGGATGTCCTGCACACTGGGCAGGGGCACTGGAGATGACCTCATGTGGCTGCTGTCCCAAGAGAACTCCTAATTAATTGATTTCCCCGGAGAGGAGACCCCAAATCCTCCCTCTCTCTGCCATCTGTAAGAGGACAGTGAGGACACTGAGGTCACCCAGCCTCTTTAGCCTGAGGGCAGGATTGGGTTTTCCCAAAGCCTGTCTCACCTGTGACAAACCCTCGGCTGCAGTTTGTGTCCTGTCCCCTCTCCCAGGCCCTCCAGAGCCCGCTGGGATGGGGACTGTCCCTTCCAGCAGTGTCACACCCCTGTGACCCCTGCTCTCAGCCCATCCCTGCAGTGTTTAACACTCTCTCTCCCCAGCCTGCAGCCTGTGAGCAGGAGGAGCAGCCTGGAGCARSATCCCTGCCTGGACTCATCACACGAGGAGGAGGAAAGGATAATTCCATCCCCGCTGAGAAAATGGGAAGCACCATCTCCCCGACAACCCGGGAAGGGCAACTCCAATCCTTGCCTGGGGGCCACATTTGGGATCTGTGCAGCTGGAGGGACACAGCCCTGTGCCACTGAGGGCTCGGGGACAGCATGTCCCTGCAGAGCCGCCGGACCCAGCTGCTGCTGGTCAACTCTCTGACCTTTGGCTTGGAGGTGTGCCTGGCCGCCGGCATCACCTACGTGCCACCACTGCTGCTGGAAGTGGGCGTGGAGGAGAAATTCATGACCATGGTTTTGGGTAGGCGGCTTTGGGCACCTCTGCCAGGTGGTTTTTAACCCTCGGAGGGTCTGGAGGGTGGTGCTGGGTGAGGGCAGGGGGAGTTATCCTTGTCAAGGGAAGATTTGGGTTTGGAGGATGGTGCTGGGTGAGGGTGCTGGGTGAGGGCAGGGGGAGTTATCCTTGTCAAGGGAAGATTTGGGGTTGGAGGATGGGGCTGTGTGAGGGCAGGGGGTGTTATCCTTGTCGAGGGAAGATTTGGGTTTGGAGGATGGGGCTGTGTGAGGGGCAGGGGGAGTTATCCTTGTCGAGGGAAGATTTGGGTTTGGAGGATGGTGCTGGGTGAGGGTGCTGGGTGAGGGCAGGGGGAGTTATCCTTGTCGAGGGAAGATTTGGGTTTGGAGGATGGGGCTGTGACCCAGCGAAACCTCCCAAATTCACCCTTTTTATGGTGCACACAGCCCATAAACCGACCTGTAACACCCTCTGTCTCTTTCCCAGGGATAGGCCCCGTCCTCGGGCTGCTTTTCGTCCCCCTCATCGGCTCGGCCAGCGACCACTGGCGCAGCAGCTACGGCCGCAGGAGACCCTTCATCTGGGCGCTGTGCCTGGGCGTGCTGCTCAGCCTTTTCCTCATCCCCCACGCCAGCAGCTTGGCCGGCTTTTGCTCCCTCAACCCGCGGCCCCTGGAGATCTCCTTCCTCATCCTGGGCATCAGCCTGCTGGATTTCTGCGGCCAGGTTTGCTTCACGCCGCTGGAAGCGTTGCTGTCTGATTTGTTCCAGGAGCCAGACAGCTGCCGCCAGGCTTTTTCCGTCTATGCTTTCATGATCAGCCTGGGGGGCTGCATCGGTTACCTGCTGCCCGCCATCGACTGGACCTTCCTGGCGCCTTACCTGGGCGGCCAGCAGAGCTGTCTCTTCACCCTGCTGGCCCTCATCTTCCTCTCCTGCGTGCTGGCCACGCTCTTTGTGACTGAGGAACCCGCTCGGGGGGATTTGGAGCTGAGGGAAGCGGCGGTGAAGCCGTGGCGGGGTTGCTGCGTTCCGCGGGGACGCCGCGTCCTGCAGGCTCTGCGCGGTGTGTGCGCGCTGCTGCCGCGGCTGCACGGCCTCTGCTGCCGCATCCCCAGGGTGGTGCGCCGCCTCTTCGTGGCCGAGCTGTGCAGCTGGATGGCCCTCATGACCTTCATGCTGTTCTACACGGATTTTGTCGGAGAAGGGCTGTACCACGGAGTGCCCAGGGCCAAGCCGGGCACCGAGGCCAGGCGGCATTATGATGAAGGTGAGCGAGTGAGCCTGCGATGGAAACATTTCCCAGGAGCTCAGCTTGGATGGTGATGTAAAAAAAAAAAAATTACAGCCAGCTTGGTTTTATGCAGTGGGACAGGAAAGAATGTTTTCCTGTGGATCCCGGAGCGTGGCATGGTGACAAAATTGGGAAATAGCTCCCAGTTGTTCCCAGCACGGATCCAGCAGGGTGGCCCTGGCCCGGGGCGGGGTTGCCGGGTGGCAGAGCCACCCTGGCAGGTGACACAGGGACCAGGATGGGGCTGGCACTGTCTGCGGGCTCTGCTGGCCACTGCCAGGCCCTGGCACTGCTGTCCCCTCCTGTTTGGGAGGGGTGATGGCGCTCCCCATACCTGGGAGAGCAGGGGGTGGGATGCCAGAGTGAGGTGGAGTGTGCTGCTGGGATTCTCACAGCTTTTCTGGGATTCTCACAGCTTTCCC